TGAATAAAACCCACCATGAATGTGTAAGGAACTTCATGCAAGTCTTCCCAAGGCCTTATGAACAGCACGGTGATTAAAAGTGTAAAATATTAGTACATATGATCAAGCAAGGACCATTAGTTGCCCTCACATTTTGTGCTTCCTAAAAAAGCTCCAATGATCAAAGTTTTTTAGTCATTGTTCAATGTTCAATTTTTAGTTGTCTATCATATGTAAATTGTCAAATTGTCAGAAATAAACTAGACCAAAATAAAGTTCTACTTCATTAGATATTGCGTTCAAATATAAATTTTAGGAAAATATATCTGAAAAGTAATTAACGGTACAAATATTACAAAATGTACAAACAAGTCAATCATTGAGACCAACTTCCACGAAATAGCATATTAAACTAGACGAGCTACTTATGCGAGAATAAAGATATTAAACACCATAGAAAAGTCAGTTACAACCTGAGCTCAGCACACAATCCAAATCAAAAGTCCAAAATACACTAAAAAGACAACTATTTGTTATTATCATACTCTCCATTACATCCTGCAGATGAGAGAGAGAGTATTAGTGCTACAATGACGCCATGCATGTAAATGACTTTATTAAGTGGGATCTTATCATGAAAGAAACAATGGGGCCACTTCATAAGAATAATAGATGGACACCGATCAGACTAGAAAAACACAAAAATAAATTAAAAAAATCCATAATAAGTGAATATACAAAGTAAAAGAACAAACTTGAGCTAAAAGATACACGGCAAAGCTTGTCGCAAAAGTGTTCCAACCAAAAAGAGAGCATATAATTTTTTGGACCACTTTTTTTGGCACGAAGAGGTGTCGTGGATGGAATATCCATCTTTAACTTATTGATCACTCTTTAAAGGATTATTAGCCCCCTAGGGGCATTCTATTAATTTTTTGTTACTCTTAACCTCGCCAACTTTACCAACTTAATTATAGAGAAATAGGTTCAAGGATTTGCATTACTAGAGTTCACTCAAATGTTTGTTTACCCTAACGACTCTATCTTGCATGTAGAGGATTAGATCTAAGAGGCTAAAACTCATGGTCATAATTTAGAAGTACAATGCCGTGAGTTTGCATTTAAAATCGAATTTCTTCATTAAAAACCTTTAAGAACTTATGTAAGATAAAATATTTTTAGCAAATTTTACAATTGAGCATATGGTTCCTAGTCAATGGAAAAGAATTTATTGTACTAGACCATCATAGGAGAATTCAAAATTATTATTTGAGAAAAAATCTTACCAACTCTAGTTTTTGGGAAGTAAATTTTTTTAATGGAATTTACGACCCTGCTCTATAGATAGATAGCATGTTTTAGAGCGTGAATCCGTGTTAATAATTTTTACTTCTGAAAGAGAACTCACGTATATAAAAATAATTACAGATCTTCTAGAAGAGTTGCATGCTTCTCAATGTAGAGTAAATTTTGAATTCATATCATTCAATTTTTTAGTTTGCACATCATTCTGTAATATTAATTAAAAGTATTTAATATGTTTATTGGAGCGTATGCAGATAAATTTACTTTCGATGATTTGATGTTTTGTGCACGACATTTTGAAAAAAATTCCAAGCTAGTGGCAGTTAATAATGAACCATTTGATTTAACTTGGAAAGAATTTTATTCATGTGAACGCACTATAATTTGGGATGAGGGTTGCCTTTAGATAATTGATGTGCACGCCTTTTGGAGTGATATGCATAACTTGTGATGCAAAGTAGATTGTGCTATGTTGCTTTGCTTGAGGCCATTAATATGAACACATATTCGCTTAGTATAAGGCCATGTAGTGCCATTTGTTCAAGTTAATTGCCATTAAAGCATGCATGTCACTTTCCTTTTGAGTTTCCTATTACTCACATTATACATGCTTACTTTGTTGGTTTGAAGATTTGGTCGAGAAAATTAAGTGTTTTTAAAAACGCGTGATTTTGTATTTCTATGGCTTAGATTTTATTCAAGTGGGGCCTTTAAATGTATCGCTCTTCCATCTATGAAAAAGAACCATCCTTAGATCATATTAATTTCAAGTTCAATCACTGTGACTATTCTTAAAGGTTCTGAGTGTTTAAGATAATTCTTAGCATAGATAAAAAATTTTGATTTTGTAAGCAAGCCTTCAAATTCATTGCAAATCCCTCTATATCCAGTTCAAGTTTTGAATTCATGTTATGTGATAGTTCTCTTCAATTAATTCAGCATGACTTGTATGTCACTTAGAATGTTCATTTAATGCATTTTTTTACAATTTAATCGTGTTTTCAGGACCAAAGAATTCCTGTTCTCTGTTTTTAAACTTCTATACTGAACTTTTCGATAGCCTCCTAGCATCAACCCCCACATAAGGCGCATCTACGAAGAGATGGGCCTGGCCAACATGCCATCAAATGCATTGGTGGTGTGTAAGACATCACAGCCAAGTATTTTACCCCACCATATCAAGGAAGGATAATGTGTATGGGTCTTAATATATCTGCTTAAAAAGGCATAGGAGAATTTTTCCGTCGCATTAGAACAATACTTATGCGTACTTTTGAATTTTTCAGTCAAGCTAAAAAAAGAATGCATAAAGCTTACCCGTTGTGTCACAAGCTTCTTTATGAGTTTCTCATAGAAATAGAATTTTGGGAGTTTTAATTGGTCTCATTGTATAGCTTCATACACAAGCCGTGTCAAAATATTTCTGAGCGAGACTACAATATAGATTTGCACATACAAATTTTCGCTTCTTTTTCCTATTAATTTTCTTTTTATTTATTCCGTATATAGAGAGAAAAGGAGTAAGAAAAAGTGACAACCCAGAGAAATAGATGAAGGAACGTTGAGAAAAAGAGAAAGAAGAGAGTGAGAGAGTAGGAAAAGGAGAGTGAGTAGAGTTACAGTAAGGAAAGAGTGGGATAAGGAGAGAAGGGTTATTTGGCAGAGGATTGGAGTAAAATTTAACTTAAATTCTGCCAACAATAAAATACTAACATTAAAATTTACAATATCTTAAATCCCGTCTCTCCTCCCTTCTATCTTAAATCCTACTAAAAATTGAATGGATTTAACTTAAATCCTCAAGTCTCATGAACTCCTCTTTTCTTCACATGCAGTTGGTCCCATCTAGCCTTATTTAGCAAGCTTCGGCCACAATGACCTTGCCTTTTTTCAATGTCAATGATTTCAAAAAGGCGTGGAGAATGAGAGGGGGAGGGGGGAGAAAGAGAGAGTCGTGGAGTTTAATGGAGAGGGAGGAAGAAGGGAGGAGCAGGGAAGCTTTGGAAGAGGCATGTGTGGTTTCTCGAGATATGACAGAGGATAGGTTCGAGTGAGTTCATAAGTGGGAACAACAGGCAAAAGAAACTAAGAGATAAAGCGGAGATACGATAGTCATATCTGGCCCAAATTTGATAAGGATTGAAACTCTGATTGAAAATGCTTGTGAGTTCAATGAGCATTTCTAGACTATAGGACTTTTTTGTTTTAAAAATTGTTAGAATTGAGCAATGGCTATGATAGAGTTTAGATCCAAGTTGATTTGGAATCATCTTGTGCACGATAGAGAAAAATTTGCATACATATACATATACATGTATGTCTATATATATATATATATATATATCACACAATTCTTTTCTATTTACAGATCTAACACCAAAAGTTTGATATTTACACTTAGAACATCTTGCTATCATAAACTTGTATATGAAAAGATGTATTTCATTTTTAAAGATAGTGATGATCGTATTTTTAATGTGATATTAAAGGTTTCAATGTTATGCATGTAAATATAAATATTTAGGGGTTAGATATGTAAATGCAAAAGAATTGTGTAGTATGTATATGTTGAATCCTGGTTTGTCTGTAAATCACACCCAAGAAATAGAGCATAATGGAAGAGAGAGGCAGAGTGAGAATTAAACAATAATGAATAGTAATATGGTGTATCTTATTCATGAAATGATCTCTATTATAAGTGAGAGGGTACAATATGATGTTATATTTATGCTCCTATTTTAATGGGTTCAGTACTAAGATATTTCTAATATTTTATTGGTATGAGCTTATCGTCTGGTTGCTCTTTGACTCGGTCGGCTAAGCTGAATTGACTTCGAGTCGGTAAGATCAGCTTGATTGGGTTGAACATGGTTGGATTTGGTCAACGAAATTAGCTCGATCGACTGAGCCTGATCAGCTTTGATCGATCGACTTGATCTACTCTAGTTGTCAATCCTTGATAACTAGTAAGGGATATATGCAAGTACCCAGAAAGATTGGAGATGTTGAGAGACTAGAACTTCCCTCGGATCGATTTTTCCATAGTGGTTGTCTCGAATGTCTCTTTGTTTCGTTTCTAAACGGATGGTTCTGGATTGGATTATTTGGTCGTCTTTTTGTCCTCCTAGTAACTCGATCGGCTTTCGTATTGCTAGGTTTGGCTTGGACAACTTCACTAGGTCAAGCAGGAGGGCCTCACAGTCTTCTATCAGTGAGCCCTCCTTCGTCATGCTCTTTAATTATGGACCTTTAGATCATCTCAGGATCAACGCTGAGACATTTTTTAAGTACAGTATGTAAATGCCACTTAAAAAAGTGTGGCACGCATCCAATGAAATGCTATAAGGCTCGAGAAAACCTCTAATATGAGTAGAACAATGCTTTCTATCATGTTTTCAATATTCAACAGGAACAGTGCACACAATCCCATCAAGGTAGAGAACACCATCAAAAAAGAAGAAAAAATAAAAATTGTACTATTAGTTTGGATGTGTAAATCTCACATCTTAATAAAGCCAAGGGTTTCAACTTCGCCGTACAAACACTTTTTATGTGCAAAAACCATAAATTCTAAATATATAGTGTTGAACTATTGATGGCAAAAATGGTCGCAAAGTTATTTTACAATATAGCATTGTGTCATTTTAAAAATGCTCAGCCACCTTTAACAAAATTCAAAAAAAAAAGTAAATATAGATAAAAAGAGTAGCACTCACATCTTCCTCCAGAATTATTTCCCCTGGAACGATAAGCGGCACGGGTTCGGGACCCAATTCTTCACGATAAATCTTTTGCATTTCATCAGCAACAGCTTCAGCCAATGAATCCTATACAAATAATTGTGCTCAATGAGGATGAAAATGCCAGAGAAGGGATCAAATACAGTAACTTAATATCTCAGACAACATCCAGTTAACAAGATTCAATCAATCGCATGGGCCAAGAAGGGACAATCTGAGCTAGATACCTGATGAGCTTCAAATGGAGGATTGAATGAACATCCAGGCGGCTCCATTTCAACAGCCGGAATGAGAGAAGTGGCAGACTTCTGATAAAATCTCAAAGTCCATTGTGAGTCATTGACTGAACTTAATAATAGATGAACTGGAAATGTTAAATAACTAAAATTTGAATTAAGAGCTTCAAATCAACTGAAGTTTTACAATGGTAAGAGCCCTGGCAGAGTTATTATTTACATATCTAACACCTAAATTTTATTTTATTTTTTATTTATAACAACCAGATTTTTCATATCACATTAAAAATACCACTATTTTAACTTTTAAAAAGTGAAATACACCTTTTCATACACATGTAACTCGTAAGGCAGCGTATATTTAAAAATTAAAGTTTAGTTGTTAGGTATGTAAATACATAAGAATTTATTGGTATGTATCTAAATCTTCCAAAATTTTATCATGCAAGAGTCCTAAGTTATGCAAGGATTGGCCACGGACTTCTCAAGGAAGACCATCAGACATATAGCTTCCAATAAGAATCTCACATAAAAACCAGCAATGGAAATTTAATGGGAAAAAAAAACAAACAGACTTAAATTGCAAGAATAAAAAAAATTAAAGAAAGGAGAAACACAGAGTTGGATAACCTTTTTGGCCTTCGCATTTTCTTCACCTGCAAGTTTTTTATCTGTAAAGAGATTACAAGTTTGTCAGTGCAAATAGATACAATGTATCATAGCTAACTATCCAGAAACAAACCTTCATTATTCCATAAATCAAGTTGCAATGCTGGATCCTGTGTCTGGAAAATGCCAGAAAAAAACAATAAGAGCACTAGGTAAACTAAATGCAAAAAATTTATATTTAATCGCAGACCTTTGAAACGTCTCTAACTTCAGCTTTTACTGATTTTATTTCTTTCCGCTCTTTACACTTCTTCAAAATTGAAGACGGGACGGGCTGCACAAAGAGATTTCTTTGCAGCAAGCTCTCATGGCGGAGAACCTTGAGCCTGTGTTTTTCAATCTTCCGTTTCACAGGAACATCTAAGAAAGGAATTTAAAAGAAAGAAAAAATCAGCTGCTGAGCCAGCTGAACCAATTCGGAAAACCCAGTAGCCATTTAAAGAAAATGACACGAAGCTGTAAGTGAAACATAACGCGGAACCTGTAGATTTATCGACGTAAAAGAGAGATTCACTGGGGAGAGAGGTTATGGTGGAGGAGACGCCGCTGTGAGCGTCCTTCGTTGTCTTCTCAAAGTATTCTTCGATGTCTTCGGTCTTTATATTCGCCCTCCACGCCTTCTTCCCCTTCCTTGAACCCTTCGCTACTTTCCCCATCTATGAAAACGCTATTGCATGCAGAATTAACAGTCGGCCGCGTTGGCGGATACGGGTAGAGAGACGACGAAGTTCTTCGTTTGGTTTAATTTAGGGTTTGGAAATTGGAGGTGCAACCCATTTTGGAATAAAATTAGAATTATATGATCTAAAATAGAAAATTTTACATAAATGCCATTAAAATTTAGGGATTTTTATTTTTGAGGGCACTTGAAACATATCTTTTAGGTGCATGAAGCATCCAAACTCATCTTTTTATAGCCAAAATATCTGAAATTTATAAAATCCTCAAAAGGAGCACTGAGTCAACATGTCACCGTTATCTCTGCCGGTTACATCAGAAACCCTCATCTTTTTCTCAGTGACGTTCGTTTTTCCTCATCATTCCCTTTGCTATTCATTCTTCCGTACAAATCAACTCTATTCCTCAAATCCATCATCTTTCTCACTCGTGTAGAAGCTGTAGCACCTTATCCACCACACAATCCTCTACAATGATCCTGCTTCGTCGTTCTTCTTCCATCACTTTGCCTGGAAGGTTCCTATCGCACATCCTAGCCATCGCCTGAAGCCTAATATCTCTGTTAGGTTTAATTTATGTCAGATTGTGTGTTATAAATATGATATAATTGATTTGTACTTTTTTTTTTAGTGAGCATTACATCTACTTAGAGATATATCACTTTTTGAGGTTCATTAACCTGTGATGAGAATAAGGTAGAATGTTTCATATGTCTCGTTTATCATTTCAAATTGTAACATTCAAGATTTCGTCTATTTAAACTCATTAACTTGTAGTAATTTTAGAATCTAAGATAGTGAGATTTCTATGAGTTCATTTATAATATTACTTTCATTAAGGAAGCCATCAACCAACATGAACACAAATGATTTAGAAGGAAAATTTAAAATTTTATCTCATGAGTTTTTCCATAGATTATTACCGCATGCACGATACGTTGATATTGCTCCTAAAATTTTTATTGTGATTACAACTTGCTCTGCACTATTTTTAAGGCACAAAAAGGTCATAGTTTTGGCAGAAAATTATATGGATGCCCCATAAATTGATCAAAGAAATATTGCTATTAATGCAACATATGAGTAGGGTGATGAAGAAGGAATTGCAGTTGAATGATATGGTTAAGAAAAAGCTTGATGACTTAAAAATTCATAATGAAAATTTTGGTTTTATTTGATTTCATAATCTCTGCACTTTTGTTATTGTTGTTGGCGTTGCATTTGTTTTGAAGGTGTTTATGTAATTTAAATATGAACGGTAGTAATGTAGAACTTATTAGTAATAAATCTCGTTGGTCTTATTTTGGAGCATGTTTTTGTTCTAGGTATTATGCACAAATAATGCTTTTGTTCAATGTAATATGCTTCAAACATGTTTGTATTATCATGTTTTGCAATTTAATTTCATATTTCAAACTTTGGGTGTCGGTTATATGAATACATATGAATTATGTGGTGTGTATGTAGATTTTCCTTTCTCGTAAGTTTACAATATGGCCATCAACCTCTACACAGATAGTTTATTGGTTGATGCTAACTATGAACTTCATAAGACTCATTAGTACATTATTTGTTCTCACTTCTTTACATAGGAAAGAATAAGAAAAGCGTGTATTTTAGTGCTTCATTTTTATAGGACAAGCACTCAAACTCTTTTCGATCACATAAAAAAACAACACTAATTACACTTCTTCACGGTAAAATCCACATTTTCATACATAGAGGCGGTGATTTCTCTGTAAATATTAATGTTTAAGTTTGAGATACATAAATACATAATAATTTGGTGCTACGTATGTAAATCCCCGTAAAAAAAAGGGAATTTACATGCAAAGTATACAATTTTGATGTATTTACATATCTAACAACTAAAATTTATATGCTTATAATATTTTGGTGTCCTAAAACTATATATGAAAAAGGTGTATTTCACTCTTAAAAAGTAAAGAATAGTGTTATTTTGCATGTTATGTTAAAATTTTGAGGGTTACAAATCTAAATATGAAAGTTTAAGCTTGAGACATGTAAATACACAAAAAAGAAGGGATGCAATTCATTAAGAAAACCACATTAAAATTTGAGAATTTTTAAACATATTTTGATATAAATTAAACTTATATTTTTTAGAAAGCTAAATAAAATCTAAAGCAAAGAAATTACCAGCCTTCATTTTCTAGAAGGATTACTTTAGGGATGGAATTTACTTGAGTAATTTTGCAAAATTTAGGTTATAATTTATAAATTCTAGGAGATAAGTTTTTTTTTGAATTGAGGTGGAATTTATTCGTTCTAAGGTTTCAAGTATATTATTCGCTACATCTACTGGTACAAGCAGGAGGATTTTGTTACTCTTTATTATTATAACCAATGGTCGGTAAATTCAAATGTTGAATAAAAAATTATATTATTTCAATTATCGATAGTTTTTTCATTTCTTTTCATTTTTTATATTTTATTTGCACAAAACATTTTAATTTTAATTTATAATTCCCCCACCCCCCTCCCCCTAAGTATTAGTTATGCCACTCTGGCCTAGAGTTGTCGAGTCGAGTTGAGTCGAGTATATCATTGTTCAAACTTGGTTTGATATAATTATAAGTTGTTTATGTTCAACATGAGCTTGTGTCGAGCTTTCATACATTATTCAAGCTTGATTTGTTTAACTTTTTCAATGTTTGAACTTGATTTGTACTTGATTTGGTTATGACAAGTGAACTAGTATTTAAACGAGCTAAAAAATCAAATGAGAATTTATATTTTCATATAAAAATTTTTAATAAATAATTTTGCAATTCTAATCACTTTTATTTTGTCGACTATGAACTCTAAAATCTTTGAATTTCACGAATCAACTACAAAATTAATATTGATAGGACTATACTGGTTCAAATTTTGTAAGTGGAAGAATTAAATTGATCACGAAAGTTATAGCGATGATTATTTACTTAATCATATTAATAAGAAAATAATAACAATAAGTCAACCCACATTAATGGTGTTGGTAAATGCAGTGTGATGTTCATAAAAAATGAACTCATTAAGTTAAGAAAACTCTGCAAGAAAAATATTTTATAACACTCTCTTTAAACTTAAATATCTCGTTCTAAATTACTATTCATTTATTAATAAAATAAATATATAATTAATAATTAAAGTAAAAATATTATTGATACAATAATATAATACTATTTATTCTATAATTAAATAAACTATAACTAATTAAATTTTATTTAAGTAATATATCATATATATAGTACGAGTTATTAACGAGCTTAATATTGAGTATTTAACAAGTTACTTAATAGATGACAAACAATTTTGTTCATAAATATAAACGAACAAGTTCGACTATATTAATGTTCAGTTCGTTTAAGCTTCGATCTTTTAAAAACTATTCAAGTTTGTTTATTTACTAATTTGAATGAACATGATCGAGTCTTAGTCAAGTCAAGTTCAGAGTGTTCAACGAATGCATTGGTTCATTTAACTCCCTACCTGGCCACACCATCTCAATACAATATAGAGTACTCAGAAAACTTTGGCTTTTATGGAACTAAATTATATTATATATATATATATATATATATAATAATTTTTAAGAGGTATATGAGAAAAAGCTTATGGAAATAGATAATCATGAGTTTCAAGGTTATTCAAGCATACAAGTTGAAACAATTTCTACTAGAATTATGTATTAAAAATAAAAATAAAAACTTTCTTTTTTTAATAGTTAGCTTTGATGGCGAAGTGAGGATATATACATTAAAATTTGATATATATATATATATATCATAAATTTTCTTTTTTATTGCTATATGAATTTAGCATTAACGAATTTTTATGAGAATATCTCGATATTTCTTAATATCGAAGAAAAATCTAGAAATTATTGACCAGATAGTCTGCACTAGCCGCTGGGATGTGATGTCATTCACATGGCTGCGGCTTAGAAATTTGAGTCTGTGAAAGACCACAAAGGATTACAAAGTCTCGAGTCAATTGTGGCATTAAGCGCTCAGTAAATGGAAATTGGAAGTCTTGATTGCAATGGGAAGAGAGGTCAGAGTTTATTTTATTTTATTTTGTTAAGATTGTGTTTTTTAATGAAATTTATATTTTTTAAAAGAAGGTTAGTAGGAAAAAGCTTAAAAATCAAAGAGAATGATTTATGTACATGTATAGATAAATATGATTGTATAGAATTTCTTATGTGTATTATGGAGCCCGTTTGTTGAAGTTGTTGAACTCGTCTCTTTCAATCATTGGGGTTGGGCCTAACCCACTGGAATTTTACGGTACTAAAAAATATATATTTTGAAGGATATTTATCTCTCTCTCTCTCCAAGAAAGCTTAAAGCTTTGAAAACCTCCAACAAGTTTGATGTTTAGCTTACTAGAGGCTCTAGTTCAGTAGATAATCTCTGAGTTTTAGCTTATGTCTTACATCTATCTCTCTTTTCTCTATCTTTCCTCTCAAATTGAGTATTTAATTTAATCATACATGGATCGAGACAATTTTAATTATTATTGGATGTATCTCATTGAGAAGTTTATTTAATTATAGATTAGTTGAAGTGGAGCTTAAATTAAGTATTGATATGTTACAAAGAAATTTATATATTCAGATATGAACTGTGAATTTTAGATAAGATCATCTAAGCTTCATGGAGTTTTTAAGATCATTTAAGCCGAGCTTGAGTTCGATTCATTTATATAACGAGCTGAAAAGTTTGTTCATGTTCGGCTTGTTTGTTTATTTTATTTTTTGATTAATAATTTTAATTGATTATAAATCTTCGTAGTATGTAGTCAATTAAAATATTTAAAAATAGTACTCATCAATTATATATATATATATATATATATATATATATATATATATATATATATATGTATATAATTTCAAACAAACAAAATTTTGTTTGTGTTCGACTCGTTTATATATATCGAGCACAAAAGTTTTGTTCGTGTTCTGCTCATCTGCTTAGCAAACAAATCGAACACAAGCTACTTAACGAGCTAAACACGAGTTGTTCGTGAACAATGAGCCGTTTTGACAACCTAATGTTATCAATTACCCCC